GGCGCGGTATGGTCCCGGTGGTAGTTGTTTCAATACGGTGACTTATTTTCAGGACCGGGACTACTACGACGGTTTTCCCAGGTTTGGAACCTTGGCGGCAGATTATTTTCAGGTTCGGTGAAGGTACCCTGGTTTGGCGTCGGTATGGTGCACGCCACTGTATTATTTTTCAGGTTCAGTGATGGTATGGACTCCCTGGTTCGGCGTCGGTATGGTGGACGCCACTGCATTATTTTCGGGTTCGCTGCATCATTTTTCAGGCTCGGTGATGGTACGGTACAGATGGCTACGGTTCAGACTGGAAATTTCCTGGTCTGAAGGCCCTGGTCATCACTACCGTCGGAGTACCGGGACTACTGCCCCGAGCCTGTTCGCTGCCCAGTCAGGGCCTGAGGACTCGGGTCCCGTTGGGGAGAAGAGAACCAGTGGTGTTGAGACACGAGGGGAATATGAGAGGGGTTAACGAGTACCAGAGGGGGGAGTGTGTGCCAGGTGTACACCGCGAGCGGCTTAGCTCAGAGGGAGGAGGAGAGAGCTGTGCCTGGTGTCCACAGTGGGATGCGTGAGCAAGCCAGGTGTACACCGCGGGAAAGCTCCGTTCCGGAGGGAGCATGCCAGGTGTACACAGCGGAATACAGCATGCGTAGGCAGGGGGGAACAGTGGACGGACAGAGGGTTCACGAAGAATCCAAGGTGTACGCAGTGCACCGGGGAGTTAAGCAGTGGCAGGGTGAGAGACGAGCTCAAGGGGAGACCTCGGCGCCCAGGCTGTTATGCGGAGAGAGAAGGGGATTCGACAGCGGGGCGACCAGGGAGAACTGGGCGCACTAGAGGAGGCGACCACAGTGACCAGCGAGAGGGTGCACAACGCTTGGACTGCGACCACTGGGAATGCAGTGCATGAGCTCGTTTGACTAGTGGATGAGGTTGAATATGACATGCTAGGGGCTGGTCAGAATGCAACAGTGGCTGTCATGAACTACAGCGGCCATGATATTGATGATGGTATAGTGGTTGACAAGAGCTCCTTCGTCCGTGGTCTTGGCTGCTGCATTGACCTCTGCGGGTACTCAACAACCATGAAAAGGTATGCAAATAGAACAGCTGACCACATTGTTGCACGAGAACTGAAGACCGTAGTGAGCAAAGGCGGAGCCACCATTTACACACTGAACCCGCCACATCAAATTTTTGATCAAAATGGCATTGCCTCCGTTGGTGAGATGATCAGGTCTGATGATGTCTAGGTGAGTAAGCCGAGCCCCTGTACGGACCTGAGCGTCATGGAGGCTGGAGCAGGTGCTCGGTCTTCTTCTTTGGGTCGAGCAGCCCTGGTGATTTTTGCTTCTGTGCCTCTCCGCTGCTCTCGTCCATGCCACTCCGCACTGGCTATGGAACGCCTGGATTGGCAGGCAGATATTGTGKCCTGCCGCGCTGTTTCTACGAGGGATTGCAATCTGTACAGCAGTCTGACAATCTGACACGGTGACAGTCTGATAGCGGCTGCAGTCTGTCGATTTGTAATAGGCAACTCAATGCCCTGCAACTGCAAGCCTGAAGGTAGAGAGAGAGTGAGTGGGGGCTGTCGGGGTGTGCAGTGAGAGAGAGTCTGCGCAGGGTGACAGAGAGAGTCTGTGCAGTGTGAGAGAAAGGGTCTGTGCAGTGTGAGAGAGAGAGAGTGCACGAGAGAGAGTGAGCAGTGTGAGGGAGAGAGTGCACAACGGAGAGAGAGAGAGAGAGAGAGGGAGAGAGACGAAACTGAGGGGGGAATGACAACAACAATTCAGGCTGACTGATGGCTTCTCACAGGAGTAAAGGACTCAACGGGAAGCGTGAGGATACTCGTACACCCTTTTCACCACTTTTCACACAGAACACGAATCCAAGATCCGTTTTGAGCCACCCCAAAACCACTCCGAAATTGGTGATTCAACCGTTGGGATTTCTTTTTCAACAAAGTCCAGACATCATTTATCCACATGGCGCAATCGTAATCTCCATTTGGTAACGGTGCTTTGATCCGGATTCGAGCCAAGCACGGAAGTCTTCAGTCTGAATGCCACTATGGCTGTGTAAGGGTACGGCATGATATTCAGGGGCAACTGCAGCTGCTGTCTAATTA